GTTAGATATCCGTATCCAATAAGCGCCTGTCCTCTTCAGGCCTCTCTGACCGTCCCTCCATCACACGCCTGATTACCCCGAGAGACGCGCGAGGACTGGCGCTAAACAAACACGAAGAATAGCAACACAGATCCACCTAATGGTCACCATTTAACTCTATTCACGGCCTCTCCACTTTGTCCGTATGGTGCTTTGACGCGCGGATTATAGGAGACCACGGGGGACAAAGGTCACAGGGCTGAACGCACACACCCACTCCGACGTGACATGCTCTGATCCCACGACCCGAGGAGTTTCGGCAGACTCTGGGGGTCCCACGGGTTAACCGCCTCCTTCCTAGGACAGTTAATGTTGGATTTGCGCTGTTTGTCTCTCACTACATCTGTAAGCAAAGAAAAATAATAGGCTACATGTAGGCCTATAATGGCAGTTCAAGCTGGGCATTAAATTAGACCATAGGCCTAACAGCGCCTTTCTTTAATCAATGACTCAATAGGTTTTACTCATAGGCCATGGCTATTTAGACACAGCTCAAATGTAGAACTATAGGCTATTGTAATTTTCTGTCAGTGTTAAAGCTTGTCAAACTGTAATCAGCCCACAAATGAAGTCATTTCAGCACTTTGTAAAACTCCAGTGTAAATCTGCACCTTTACTAGGCCTATTTTGTTTGGTGGCATTATGTTAGCCTATGCATTGCAAAATTAATGAACTGATGCATGTTGGATAATTTTAATTATACCAAGACATCACAATCACAACTCAGTGTGCTTCAGTGGATGTAGCTTAAAGATTATAATGACAGGAACATATCATATGTTAATGTTTTGGGGTTTTTTTAAACAAAAAGCCCCCAAAGGCCTATAATAACTGTAACCTAAATAAACCCATAGTTGTCATAACTTTTAATTTCACTGATCTAGTACTGAAGAGTTAGGGGCGTGATTTGTGGTCTCCACAATGTGACTGTGTAGCTATACAGATGTCAGTTCCACAATGTAATGAATACCCAGCATTTCACTCTGTGAGTAAAATAGTAAGGTATTTATTTGTGTTTATAACAAGTCCAGAGTTTGTAGACAAGCCCTTGTTGACCTGTATAATTGTACTGAGCAAATATGAGTGGAGCACAAGACTCAAGCACTCATGTCTGTCTGCAGCTAAATGGCGTCCAGTGAAAGATCATGTGAAAGAGCATGTTGAGTCAGTGCATGTGGGCAGTCCGGTTGAGGCAGTTAGGAGCTGTACACTGCTCACCTGCCCCAGGGCCTGCACACCAGCACACATGAAAGCAGTTTCACATGCAGTGGGACTCCACTCCTGCCTCAACTCACTGAACTTGCGTGTGACTGAGGGAAGTGCATGGTCAGAGCCAGTTTGACAATGTATTTACGGGCCGCACCGGTTAACAAATGTACAACATGACCTCAATAGTTTTAGTGCCTGGAAAATTTTAGACGCGTGGCAAAGTAAAGTGAGTTAAGTAGTCAGTATTCGTGGGTTTCAACTTCCTGTTTAAAGGCAATATTCTGAGGGCATTTCATGCAAAAGATAAAATTGTTTGTTTTGAATTGTTAACTGCTATAGTAACTGTTAATTTTTCATTACTCTGATACTTGAATATGCTTATGTGTTATACCAATGTCAAAACACTGTGCGTGTTTGGTCTTTTTATCAATCATGTCATAACTGATCATTGTCCACAAAACCCAAAGGACAAGGCTTTATAGGGTACATTTTATGTAAAGTCCAAGGACTACATTTAATTTGTAAATTTACTAAAGTATTTTTATGAACTGTCAGAATGATATTCCTGTATAATTATTAGTGAATATTTTTGTTTACTACAAGGCTCTTTTGATGGTATCAAAAAGCTGCTAATCTCTGTCAGATGAACCAAAGCGTTATTGTGTTACATAGAGGCCATATTTTGAATTTTAAAAAGTTCAACACTAATTGTATTCTGGCTGCACTGACCGGACACTCCTTGGTCGGCTTCCTCACATAAGCCCTATTTGAAAGAAGCCTCTTGTCTTTCCCTGCCCCTATTATACAAAGGTGTTAAATAGCACGAGGAGAGGCTGTGGATTGACGGATGGCTGCCACGGATCTGTTCTCCTGCTCCCTCTTCTCACACTCTCACTGTCAGAGGGAGGTGATGCAGTCTTGGAGGACAGGGGGAGGCCGTGGCAGTAATTTCAGGTTTCGGATTTCAGTTTGCGGTCATTGTGGATCAGGGACTACCAGGGAAAGGTGTCCATTGTGGGAATCTTAACATGGGATAAAGAGCAGAGAGAGGAGTCCTGTGGTTTTTGTGTCCTGAAAGCATCCTTCTCTGTTGTTGTTATCCATGTCTTCGTGATCACGTGAGAGGAAGGGGGTGGGTGGATCAGGGGAGTAGGGGTCCTCACACAATATATGATGAGAGTTGTAATTAAAACTCATGGTTAATTGGCTTTTTACATGATAATGCACGATCTTCTCATACATAAATGAGAGCCTCTTGTGGCTGCAGGCCTTCCCTCATTGGAAAGGGAGCCCACAGAAGAACATTTATATTCACTTTTTCTATTCTTTTTTTAATAAGAACTTCTCAAATGAGATTTTATTATTTTTTATTTATGAATGAAGTGATTTTGTTCTGGAAAATCAAACTCAATGTGCCTCAAAATACCCATGATTTTATGTTTGATAGTTGTAATCCTTTTTCATTTTTCCTGTCCCAAGCCTGTAAAAATTGAGGAGTATTCAAAATATGGAATTATTATGTAATCACTTGATACAAACAGGAAGGCATTTTAATATAGTGATGCAAAATATTACAGAAGAAAAACAGTACTGCTCAGATAACATTTTCTTCAGAAACAAAGACACTCTTTCTCAAAACTCCCCTTTCAAAACTTTGTTCAGTATACTAAGTTTCCTGTTTCAAATAAAGTGTGCCTCAGTTTGGCAACAATTAGACCATTCCTTTATGAAGCTGTGCTATAATTTACATGTGTGTTGCACCATCTGCACTTCACATCATTAAAGGTTTCAGGGGTTTTGTTAGATAAAGGAAAGAGGGGCACAAGAAGGAGCATTTGGAGTAGAAGCAGCTGCCGAACCAAATCTTGAGTCCGAGAGCGGACTGTCTATAATTATACTTTGTCTGTCCAATCAGGGCATTCACTCTTGTTCACTCTTTTTGTGTGTTTCAGTGGTGGTGATTCAGTGAAGGCCTCTTTTAAAGTAAAGTATGACAACTTAATTTAGAGATTTCTTGAAGAATGTGAACTTCATTGATAAGTACATTTGTAGAGAACATTCTGTTTACCAGATTTTTTTTTTTTTTTTTTTGCTTAAAATTAAATCTTAATAGTAAATGGATATTTTGTTGGTTGGGAAGAGCTCTACCAACTATAAATAAAAAATATAGGCTATAAAAATGGAATATTGAAACTGATGCAAAATTAGTATATTAAGTATATTGTTTATGATAAGAAAAATAGAAAAGACTGCACAAAGGATTCTACGCTACGGTTTTGCTATACTTGATCCTCAACCAAAACATATTTGCACTTTTTAATTAATTTAATAAGTTTAGTTACTAAAATATTTTGAAAATATTTGGATGCTTCCAAAAAAAACATGAGATATTCAATATGACTCAGCTGCTGCCAACACTGTTCCGATCTTACAAACCAACCTAGTGACCAGAATCAAAGTTCAAGATTAAATATCTTCTGCAGAAACTCTAGAAATCTTAAAAACCTTAGTCCAAATCTACACCAAAAGGATATTTTCCACACACAATTTTCTGCATATAAAACGATGGTTTTATTTTAATTTATCTGACAGCATAGTTCGCAATTTGTGTTTTGTTTTTGTTTTTTTATCTGTACAGCTCTCTATTACATGCCCTGCCAACTGGTCAAATAGACATTTGCAGATTTGGTGTCACTGCATAGCAACAATATGACAAGATCTTGATGGTCTTCTTTTGGGCACAGCAGGTATCGGTCTGCACAGCAGAGAGGTGTGGACCACAGGTAGACAATGGCCCAGACAAAGGCCAGAGCACAACAAGGAACAGATATCCACTTGCTGTAGGGGCAACTGTGTTCTGTTCTGGATCAACTTACCTGACATAATTGGGTCCTTTTGCGCGGACCAAATGGCGTTGCATGGCAGACATGGGGACATATAGGACCATGTAAGCTGTCATCATTTACTGTCCTGTCCCTGCATGTCTCCACGGGATGTTGAGGTGTTTGTCCTGTCCTCACTTCCTGTGTTTTTTGCCATCACAATGGTGGTATAATTGGTGAGAGTAGGCGTGGATGTGCATCTGGTGCAATAACCTCCTGCTTGCCCCTCTCTTCATCCACCAGCCCCCACCCTGTTGAAGGCTCATTAAAAGACCTGCTGTTAATGAGCTAGAGCGATCATAGAACTTCATTTTCATTAGGAGGGCTGTTGTGGCGTAGGGGGTGGGGTTAAGGCAATGTATACTGCTGCAGAGGTTTTTATGCCCTTAAAATAGAGTCAGCAATTATGCCAACCCCTTGACGCCCCCTCCCACCATGCCCTGCCTCCTAACAATGCCCACACCTTGCTTACATTCTGTATCCTGAGAAATGCCTCCTGCTACATGTCCCATCTCAGCACCCATCCTTCAGTTGCCCAGTAGCATGACCAAGCAGCACAGCGGCACAGGCCGCTAACTGGCTGCTCTGCTCCAGATAAACTAGTGCATGTGCAGACAAAGACACTAACATCACAAGGATGTAAACAAGGAATGAGGGTCCCTAATCCAAACACTCACATTAAAAATTAATGCCTCAGTGCTGACTGTGGCCCACGGAGGGACCGCTGCACTGACTGAGACGACATCCTGGTGAGATAAGAGCTAAAATTGTTTTACAAGCTTTGTTGTTAGTCCCTCTACACAAGCTAGACGAAGACTAAATAAATAAACATGAAGTTAGATGAAAGAAACTCCACAATAAAACATGGAATACAAACTTAAGAGTTCTCCTCAAAGTCTTTATTGAGGCTCCTTGTTACAAGGTCAGATAGAAAATGGTGTCAAGTGTAAAAAGACAAAGCAGACAGTATCACAATGCCAGTGTTGTGTTTGGAGATGTTTGCAGCAATGCATAAACAATATTGGCAGTAAACAAAATCAAAACAATGAATGCAATAGTAAGCATTTTATATACACAATGTTATCCCTGAACATTTCTATAGCTTTCACATTTCAGTTTGACATCACACATGTATATTTTGCCTGTGTGATCCCAAACTCTTATGCAATTTAATCACAGTCATCACAAAGCAGTTTGTGCTTTGCTCAAGAACGGTTCTTTAGAAACAAACAAACCAATAACTTGTAACTTAACAATGACCTTTAGAAAGTACAACTCTGGTCATGCCCCCGACATAAGACCAGAGCCAAATACAGTAGTGAGGACAGTGTCACTTATTTACATACACAAAAACACACTCATTCAAGTGCTAGCTTGGGAGCTCTAGCAATGCCACCAATTAACTATGAGCACACCATAGTACCCTGTAGATCAGTATTTAGACTTTTTAAAAAAGAAACATGCAGCATCCATAAATTAGAAAGAGATTTAAACAAGCGAAAAGAAGAGTACTTTAAATAGATGCAAACATGCATAAACTTTAAACAGTTCAGCACTTCACAAATGTAAACAATAGGAAGAAAAGTCACTCGCATAAAGCACAAAGAAAGACACCCGTTTTACATACACTGCAGAAAATATTGCAGTATCTTTATGCATAGACACTAACCACAGCAAACAGCAATAGACAGGACTTAAACATTTTCATATTTACATTTATGAAATTAGAAGCAGAAAATAATTCAACAGAAATTGTCTATAGATATTACTGGTATTCCGTCAGGAGCACAAGCATGCCAAGTGCCACAGTCCAGTAAATATTATGTAAAGTCACAAATGTTGAGACAAGCCAGGCTTTAAAATAGAAGTGAGGAACTGCAGGCAGACAGTGTTAAGGTTCAGTATCACCTAGTGTCTCCTCAAACGCCTTTAATCATTTGCACGTTTGCATAGAGAGTTGCACAGTGACCCAATTCTGAGAAATTATGCTAAAACAATTTTGTAATTAAAATGATAGGCTGTGTTCATATATTTTTTTATGAATATGTCATCTGCCTGCACCTGTACTTATGGTCACCAGAGAGATAAATCACTTGTAGTTTGCTTCCGGCGCTGCAACGTGGGGATCAGTTTCCTGTGTTGGTGTGGACTGTGGCAGGGCACTTCCTGTTCTAGAGTTCTGGTAATCTCCCTGTTGAATGTCACTACCTTGTTTTTGTCTGTGGTCTAAACTACTGTAGGCACTTAAGTTTCAACCAGCCCTTTGCATACAACAGTAAGGAGTGCAGCTGGGCGTGGAGTGTCAGGACAGTGCAAGAAAATTATCTACAGCTGGTGCAGCTTCTCTTTTTCTGACACGTTGTTGTACTTTTGTCAGTTATAACAGTAGGAAGTATTTGTAGAGTGCTATATTAAGGTAAATTAAGATCCATTTATGGTGCAGTGGTCAAAGCCAAGGCAATATCTGCCATGCTTTCCACAGGTGTCCCCACTCTAAGGCCGTTGTCCACAGCTCCGCTGAGCATGTTATGGTCAATCTCCATGTGTTCCAGACTGGTCTCGTCCTCCTCTGTTTTCAGGACTATGCTCTCTTCTTCTGCCTTTGCACTGGACATGGACTCAGTGGCGCTCAGTGGCTGCGTATAGGCCCCCACACTGGCATGGCTCAAGCCATGCACCTTCTTGAGGTGCTTCTCTAAGGTGGCATATACAGTGAAGGGTACAGCACACAGCTGGCAAAGGAAAGGTGCTTTAGAGCCCTGTGCACCATGCGTCTTCATGTGGCGAGTGAGTTTGGAGCTTTGGGCACAGGCATAGTTGCACAGACCACAGCGGTATGGTCTTTCTCCTGTATGACTACGTCGATGCACAGTCAGGTTGCTACTATTGCGGAACTGTTTACCACAGAACTCACAGGCTTCATCTTTCTTCTTCTTGGATGTTGGACCAGAGCTGGTGTTTGTGGCACCTATAGAGCGCCTCTCATTCTCCCTCTGCCACTCCTGCACTACCTCACTCACTTTACTCCACTCCTCTCCCATGACCTCTGACCTCTCACTGTCCCACTCCGGCCCTCTTGTCTCAGGGCGCTTAGGCGTGCAGTTACCACTGGCGATGCCACTTTCTCCACTGCCCCCTGTCTCTCCGCTCTCTAGAGACCCCTCTGAGGGGCTGGCACAGGGTGTGTGTGGGGCTTCCGCCTGTCCCTCCGGGGGATCCTCATCATCCCCGACATTGGCCGGGCGCTGGTACAGCCTCAACAGCTCGCGGTGTGGAGCAGCCTGTGGACTCAGCAGCATCATGCCTGAGGCAAGAGAACAGTGTTTGGGCAGGGACAGATCTAACTCTGGGCCTTTCACATCTTTCTCCACTGACTGCAACTGAAACCTGCTTCTGATTGCTGCATGCCGGTTCATCTCCTCCTCCATTACAGCCACGTCTACACTCTCATAGCTGTTGCTGCACGTGGCGTCCCTGTGATGACTCCTGATGTGTCTAGCGAGTTGTCCGCTCTGAGCGAAGGCCTCTCCGCACACCCCGCAATGATAGGGCCTGTCACACGCGTGGGTCCGCCTGTGTGCTGACAGGGCTCGGAGAGACGGGAAGATCTGGTTGCACAACTCACACTGAAAGTCGTTCTGGGGAAAAGGAGATGCAGCAGGTGGAGATGAGGATGGAGAATGCACCAAACCTCCAGTAGAGCCACTGGCTGGTTCAACTGTGCCCTCTGCCAGTTCTCTGAGGCGCATGGAGAAGTTCATGGCTTGGAGAGTACTGCTAGATGATGGTGATGTTCTAGATGAGGGTTGTGTCTGACGGGAGCGGGCTAGGCGAAGAGCAGAGGGCTGAAAAGCTGTGGCAAGGGCCTGGCTGAGGTGGCATGGGTCCAGAGTGGCCGGTCTATGAACTTTATTAGCTGCTCTTGAGTCTGCCTCTTCATCCCCATCTTCTTGGTAGATGCTAAAGGAGTGTGCGTGCTGGGCATGCTGCAGGAGAGTCCATGCTGAGGAGAAGACCTCCCCACACTGCTGACAGGTGAATAAGCTCGGCTCCTCATGCGCTGTAACATAAAGACCATCATGACAGTTTCATGGAACAGCATCATAAAGAACTTAAGCTTTTTATCTGCAACCACAATTAATGCCTGGATTTTACCCAATTATTGTGTTTAAAAAAAAAAAATGAAATGAAGCAATGAAAACCTTTAACATGTATTCATCATCTATTTTTCATTTTTCCATTAAAAAGAAATTAAGATATAAGCACCCTGAAAGTTGTTTATTTTGAAAACTGCGTGGAAGAACGTAGGTGGCAAACATAAGGAAAGCGGTGTCACTAAAGTCTGCAGATATTTTTAAATGTGAAGAGCATCGTCTCCTAACAGAAAGACACTCTCCAATTAAGTTGCAAATTGCTAATTAGCAGAACGTTGAAAATGAACATTTTATGCAAATTAGCCCCTGAGTCAGCCTGCTTGACAAATGAGGCCTCTCTGCATAAATCAAAATTGGAAAGATCATCCCCAAATTGAGGGGGAAACAGTTTTCTTTTTCTTCTATCCTTCCATTTCTTCTTTTTGGAGAGGTTCAAAGCAGAGTCTGGAATAAGCCTCTTTCATGTTTCCTCAAGTCAAATCCTTCTGTATTTTACTGGAGGGGGAGGAGAGTGCAGATGAAAAAGAGAGCAACTGTTTCTTTTTCTTTCTGCCTCTGTGTCGGGAGACGAGAGGAGCTGCTGTGTTCATGTCCTTTAGCCTAGCCTACGGAGGAAACCCAGGAGAACTTGGAGATGCCGTGTTATTTTTTCCCTCCTTTTAAACTAACAGTTGAAGAAAAGCATAGGTAGGTCAGGGCTCAGGGGATAAAAACAGAAATGAGATAAAAAGATTATAATGTAGTTCACAGGAGCCAAGAGACATTGCAAAAAAATATGTCACCCCTTCAATTGTACTTGAGACCCATCCTCCAACCCCAGCACACCCCAAACCCACCAAATCTTTCCCTCAGGGGTGGGGGCTTTTGTCTCAGGGTCCTGCAGTGAAATACAATACCCAGACGGCTTCTCTTTCCCTCACACTCTCCCCATTTTTTTTAAGGATAAGGATTCCCATTTGGCCCGGGGTAGCACTTGAATATTAAGCAGAAGCAATAACTACTAATTAAAAATGCAGATTGGCTGGGAGCACTAACGAGCAGCAGGCAGAATCTCTTTTCCCTTGGGACACAGGGGGAGGAGAGAAGGAGAGGAAAGAGAGAGGGGAGGGTGAGAAATTGAAAGAGGGCAATGCGAAAGTGTGTTGAAGATTGGGGGAAGAAACGGAGGGGGGGTATTGAAGACGATGGAAAAAAACAAAAAAAACAAACAAGGAGAATAAATAAAGAAATGAGACAGATGCATGCGGCTCTTCAGTAATCCGTCCCACTCAACCCCCTTCCTCTGTTTGTTCTCAGACACACAGCACAGGGCCGGTCTGCTGCGGGATAACTGCTCTTTCACTTTCTGTCAGCTCGTCTCCGCTTTCCCTCCCACAGCTCGTGCGCTAGGTAAACTGCTCCCTACTTGAGTAAAACACCACTTCCTCCTACTCTTAAAACTGTTTGATGGCCAATCAGAATAATTTAGTTCTACTTAAAAAATGCATATGCAAATTGGGCTGCCTGTCAGGTTATAGGTCTGCATATATGTGAAAATGGCACAATCAGGATCGACACTAGAGGAGAATACAGCATCTAATAAAACTTTAAACCAATTCACCTATCTATTATTCAAATGCTGACAAGCTTTTTGCTCTGTGTATTTATTTGTAGTAGGTCCCCATGGACACCACTTGACCAAACTTGTGTATGCAAGAGATTGAGTAAAGGGCAGCACAATATATCAAAATCATACCAAAACTGCAATTATCAAATCACAAAGACTGCAATTATTAATGTAATAGATAAAATATATATTCTGAAAAAATAAATCATGTAACCTTTTAGTTTTTAGATTTCTACATATATACATGTTCTGAAATACATGGGATTCTTGTATTAGTCTAATTAATCTTAAATTCTTACTGCACTACTTGTCTGAATTTGTTTTTCTTAAATGGTGCCCCTATTCAGATCAGTGCTTACACCTAAACCATATTCAAACTTTTCAAATTTTATTTCGGTTTAAGTGGGGACAAAATGTAGACCCGTGTAGTTGCCAGTCCCCTGTGCATTACACACAAAGGAAGGAACTGTTAAGTATGTGTCTACACCACAGTTTCAAAATGCACTGGACAAAAACACCCACTGAGCTGTGAATAGCAAGATGCTCAGACAAAGCACTGTGTTTAAGTAAGTGGACAATGTCTGGCCATCTTGTTATCAGCATAAATGTTAATGTTTAGATACAAATGAGAAAATCAAAGACCATTTGATGACTGTGGTGTTTGACAAGCTGGACATTAGGTGGCAAATGAACAAAGTGAAAAACAAGTGTCTGTGGAGAGGCAGGGATAGGAGAGGAAAATGGCAGAGGACAGGAGATTCCCAGGAGCTCAGGTGGCTTGGCCCAGGGCAGAACACAGGGAGGTTACACATGATGCAACATCCTCCATTAAAGTGTCATGACAGCGAGGAATATTGTGCCAACCGCTTCACAGATCTTGCCCCTGACCATTTCACACTGCAGCGTATCTTCACACCACAGTAGTTTTGTTCTGGTCTTGATGTTTATAAGCATGTCCAGGGTAGAGCGTTTGAAACCTGTTTACCTGGCCACTTCACCTCAGAGACTGACATTTGGGGAGATGGCAGGAGCATCGGAGCTCAGGTGCTGTGCGAGCAGCCCTCTGGGACCAATGATGCCCTCCGAAAGCTCCTGACGCCTATCCTTTCCACACAATTACCCTGTGCGTCACTAACTCACACAGGTCTACTAATGGCAACGGCTAGCTAATGAGAACGACCCGAGAGGGAGAGGAACTGTTGTTAAAAGAGTTGGGTGGTAAAAAAAAAATTTACAAAACAAAAAAACAGACGCTTTAATTAGCAATCTGCTGTTACTTGTGCTCACCTGTCTTGCCTGGCTCTGCCTTTACTCTCACTCCTGGCTCCTCCCCCAAAGCCTGGCCCACAACGATCCCTCTCCTCAACTCTATGAAGCCAGGCCCTGGGTGGCTCCTGGTGCTGTGCTGGTGTGCCCGGTTAGCAGGAGAGGGAGGAGTGTTGTTTGTGGGGACAGTTTGGTTTTTGGATTGGCAGCCCCCCTGTTTGTGTTGAATGAAGGCCAGGATATGAGCCAGGGGAAAGGCTTGACTGCACTGTCCACAGGTAAGGAGGTCCCGGCCTTCAGGGGGGATCATGGGCTGGGGTGCAATGGGCTGATCCTCCCACGGGACAACAGCATCTGCAGTGTTATTGGCATCTGAAAAACATTAGTAGAAAAAAGTGAGCAATGTAGAAATATGTTAAGTGGAAAGCGTTAACACATAAACTAGATTATTTCATATCATAAACTAGTTATTTCACTCTAAATCAAACTCTTAACTATTAACATTCTCAATTATCTACTTTTTATACTCTTTAGTAATTATGAAGATAAAATTTTTCACCCAGCCTTAAAACAAGGTTAATAGATCTAACAGTGCCTCAGCAGAACAAAGTACTTTCAGTTGCAAGCTACTGTCCCACAAAACTAGAGCAATATGCATCGCCAGAAGTGACCACTTCCTCTGACTAACCTAAACTCTACTTGGTGACACAGTTAGCCAGGGGATGTTCACAGTCAGTACGCCACTTGACAGAAGCTAGAGCCTACATTAATTATCACACAACAAACGTTAGTTGTAGGACTTTCTGACCACGGCTTCCACCTGCCACTCAGCATTACCCAACAGCAGCATGCAGCCAACAGTTTCTCAACAGGAAGTCATTTGCAATAAAAAATGACTGAAGGTGTTTGAGATAAGAGTAGTTTAACAAATACACAAGATCTGAACTGAGGCGCATGCAAATATTAGACTACAGTACAGGTTGCTTGACCAGATTTCACAGATTCAGTTTCCCTCATCTGTTATGCTCAAGGTCATACCTCAACACTAACACTGGGTTTTGTCAGAATTAGCTTTAAGAAACAAGTAGCAGTTTAATGCAGGCACAAAAGTTATTTTCTTTAATCTGAAGAATATGTTAGCTGAAACATTCACAAGAACAAGACATTTTCCTCATAGGAATCCTTCACTTATCGTGTGTTATGGCAAACTGACATGGCATGTTTTCATCAGGAGCCACCTGCAGAGAGGGCTGCTACTGCTCTTATAAAGGGCAACTGAGAGGGTGTACCTGGATAGATAGACCTCCTGTCTAAGGCAAGCCTGTTGCCTGGCTGAGTAAACTTGGACATTTCTCAAGATAGCAGCTCACCTGAGGCCAGGCAGGGCTCTAGTTTGAGGATGGGGGAGGGTCATGCTATTGCTCAACAACACGGTCACGGGCACACCTTGATGCCTGGACTGGATCCACCTGCCCAGGCAAGGACAGGTACAGACAGTACAGTCTGAAGTTGAATCTCGCCAGTTGTTGTTAGTCAAAAATGTCACCTTTCCTGTTTCGGCCTTGCGGTTTGTGCAGACTTGCAAAGCGCGGTCATACACACTCGTGCCCGCGCACACAGAGTGGTGTTAGGGACTGTGGTCAGAGTCAGACAAGACACGCACCACTGGCCTCCACACAAAATTGTATAAAAGAAACACGCGCATGTTTGGTCTTGTTTGCTCAAACTTTGTGAGCCCCGCTCTTTCAAACCATAGTGTAAATGTAGATTAATCAAAGCACCATGTGATGTTGGGTTTTTCAAAAGCCTGTGATGAAGAATCACAATAGCTATACTTTGAGAAGCTTCTTCCATGTTGCAAGTGAGAGGCGGGAGGAGGAGACCTGTCCCAAAGCAGCCAGAGGCCAAACGAGAAACTTGATCATCGTCCAAGTTGAAAATATTAAATCATCAAGTTCGGACCTGTAGCCTTTGAAAACAACGTGCCTAAACCGGTCTGTCCTCTGCGAGGCTTCAACAGTAATGGACAAGGTACACAGAGCAAACAATCTATCCAATCATGAAACCCAATTATTAAACACAGGCTTAAAATAAGAAAGGGAAAATGAAGAAAGTTACTAATTAAAGTGCATTTAAAAGGACAAAGACACCTATAGCTCAGGCTACAGTATTATTTCTATCTCTATCCTATAACTAGACACTGCATTTTCAAACACATGCTGGTGAATTAGTTTGATGGCCATGCCGTGGACCGCATTGCTCTCCATACCTTGAATTGCGCTCAGGTGTTGCGGTCGACTTCCAAGTTTTCGCCTGGACATCACGTCGGTCGTCCTGCGTCTGTCTGTTCCAAGCTGCAGCTCTGTAACCGAAGCTTTTACAACTTCTTGTTGACCGTCTGCTGCCCTGGTTGACAGCGGAGTGAGACGACCCTGTCTGGACTCGTAATGACTACTGCTAACTGCGTTCAAGTTCACGCCACTGCCCCGCAGAGAGCGGAGGGCAGAAGGGGTTTGTGAGACGACACGCTCCGCCCGCCCCTTCACCGCGCTCAGGCGCTCACAGGACCCTGACCCCGCCCTAAAACGGGCATCTTCTTTGAGGGCGTTCTGGACTTTTGCAATTTATTTTAAGTTGAGACTTAATATTTATATTGATATTTACTTAAATATCCCCGTCCAATTTGTGTTATATATTCTAAAAATTAGTTTTGCTTTAAACTACATACTTTAAATTTTGAATCGAGTTCAGTACATTTGGGTCTATGGTATGCAATTTTCCCACAAATGTGCTGGGCCGCCACCTAGTGATGAAGCAAGTTACCTCAGATCTCTCAAATAGTATTTAACTGCTCACATAATCTGTAAAAATATTGATGGTGACTATAATGTAATATTACAAAATAATATTCAAAGTATGTTTATTACAGCCTTAAGTAGAGTACAGAATAAGCAGATTGCTACTGCAAACTTCTGTTGTGAAATACATGTTCTGAAGCAGCGTTTGCACTGCATATTTCATTCGAAGCATTGAATATTACTTGGCCTAACACACAAACTCAAATGATTATTATAGAAGAATGTTAACAATGCAAAGCGCATAATGAAGTTATTCTCACAGTCAAACATACAGGCATTCAGTAATAAGATAACCGGTTGCGCTCAGTGTTAGATGATTCAAGCATTTGCTCACAGTCCTGTTGAAATAATAAACAGCAAAATAAATTGAGCTGGTTTCATCAGGGTTTTAAATACATAACAATGCATTGTTTGCCCTTCAGTCTAAGGAGGTGATGAAAATAATGTTGGATTTACAAATGTACAAATTAGATTTCAAACATCATGAAGATCAGGAGTAGTCCATGTCCCAGTCGGCATTAAGAAAGCACTTGGGGTCCTTGGAGGACTGAAGTTCACCTCAGTGTCGATAATATGGACTCCGCGATCGAGACCGAGATCTTCTGAAACAAATAAAGAGGTATTTATGTAACAAGATCAAATCTGGCAACTGGGAGTTTCATCAGTGAGGATCAAGTTCACTCACTATCACCAAACATGATCTTAAGAGGTTACATTTAAAATACATGAATATCAAAGCTTACTTTAGATTTGAGGTCATTGCTTTTTAGATGAAAAAATGCTCCAAATGAAGTGACCTGCAAATCTACTTTACTTACAGATCTTCTCTGCCCTCCAGTGGGGACTGGGTGTAAGTACAAAGTCCCACCAATGAAGCAAGTTGACCTGTTTCTTTTTTGTTTTCATCTTTACTTTCGTCAACATGAAAACACACTACTTCGTAACTGAATTTTGTTTGGTTGATCTTTTGCTGCATTGTATGCCTTTTAAGGATGTTCTTGTAAAGTTGTGCTAAGAAACTGACTGAACAATTGAATTGAGCAATACAACCTAAAACAGGCTCAGACCACCAATTCAAATCATTAACTATTGCAGACTTCAGTGGCTTTCACTTACCTTCTATGAGAGCTGTGATCTCGACCTGAGGGATACAAAGGACATTATGAAAACATTGGCCAAATACTTCACTATCAACATCTGAGAGTCTAGTTCGAAGACACTCTAAAAATACAAATGTATTCAAATCACTGTAGGTACGGCTGTAATTGAACCTGTATTTAACACTATAGACAGTAAGGATAAAAACGGCGTCTTACTATATTTTGATGGGGAGGGCGAATGGCTGTCTCGGCCATACTGTCTTTCCCATTCATCCCGCTCCCTCTCACGGCGCTCTCGCTCTCTAGATACAGAGGTCAGGAAAGGTTAGGTAAGAGGAGTGCTCTAAGTGTGACAAAGGCGCCACACAAATTAACTGACACTTACTTCATTCGTATTTTCCGTGCCATGGCTCGAAGCTCTCCCTCACGTTCCTAGAAAGTGAAAAGATCTAACCAACAGAAAGTCGAAAAAACATTGAAAGGTGGATAGTTTTACACACCTGCCGCTTATGTTCCTGTTGTTGGATCTTGACTTGAGCAGCTTTCTTGTCAGCTTTAGCTGTGGAAAAAAAAACCCCTCTATGAACACAATTGATCCATTCGTGATTTGCAGTCTGTGCCATCTGACATCCAAATACCACTGTACCCACATTTTAATCCAAAAATCATCTGAACATTTTGATGAATGCCGTAGTAGAATGTAGTAGCAGAATTTTGAAGTAGTGCATGTACTTATTGATACTTACACTGCTTGTTAAGCGCCTTCTGCATACGCAACTTTAGCCGCTCCTGTGGGGTCATTTTGACCTGAAGGAGATAAGTTAATGTTAGAAATATTAATAGAAATTGTGTGTATTTATTATTTTAATGGCTAATAACATAACTATATCAAACATATATCAACATATCAGAAATGTTGATAATGCCTGTGTGCGCATTTTGTATAAGAAGAAATCCTGTGTAGACTGCATACCTGCTGCTTGTGCATCACAGTTAAAGACCACAACATTAATATTAATTACGCCCACAAATAAGTTAGATAAAAGACAAAACAAAAAACAAATGTGGAGGCAAAAAACTGTTGTCACTAAACGTTACCCTTTGTTTTTGTGAAACAAAAGGTTTAGATAAGAGCAATGAACCTTTGCGAAGTCATTAAACCTGGGCAAGAAATGAACTTCCAGGCAAGAGAAGCAAACAAATAGCTACAGAACCTTTCGAATGAGGTGCATACATTATAAAATATTCTGAAAGAAGTCTTCTCCATCGAGATGAGTGCTCACAAATTGTTGTGCTGCTAATACAATAAAAATGAAAACAATTATGCCATCAGTTATAAGCTTGTCATTTTTCTTAACTATGGCACTAAACAAGTTTTGCCTGCAATGTGTCCACTGTGATGTATAAAAATATCTCTGGACATCAGCCTCTACATCCCAGCCTGGTAGACAATCATGACAGCCTGTCAGGTTTGAGGGTGTGCGTAGACTTTAGTAAGAAACCCAGTTAAATTAAATTCTTACTGACTTTGGCAGCTCCCGTCTCTTTACCACCCACAGTATCAGGCCTGAAGGCAAAGGAGAACAGACATTCATTTAACATGGCTTATCTGGAAGAAAATATTGTATATGTATGGATTCACTGATGCACTTAGACAACTCACTTTCTTAACTTGTCAGAGACAGCAGTGGCGGACGGCTGTACCCCTCTGTGAGGAGGAGAGGGGCTATAGGTCTGGTGACTGGGAGACTCCGATCGGCTGTTTCCTCTGCTGCTGCGACTTCCGCGGTATGAAGCACCACGCTGTCTAGAGTCAGAGCGTGATCTGTTAAAAGCAATAAAACATTTTTGTTGAATGAGTAGTAAAAAAAAGAAGTCCTCAATTTATATTTCTAATTCTTCTCTAAATGACTCAAGATTCAATAAGACGCATGCATACCAATAAGATAGGAGGAAAATTCAGCTAAAGTGAATCAGTGACCAATGAGTCAGTTAGTGCATTGAAATAAAATATTTTAACTGACAAATTGAATAAAACATTTTAACTGATTAACTCCATCATCCCAAATCCCAACAGTACCTTGAGCGCCGATGTGAGGAGTATCGCCTCCTGTCTCTGTCTCGCTCTCTGTCTCTATCATTGGATCGAGATCTCGTCCTGTCGCGTCTTCTCCATGATCCGGAGCCTCTGCTCCGGGAGTGGGACTTGGAGCGTCGTCTTGAGCGTGAATATGAGCGCGAGCGGTTTCTGTCTCGACCACGGTCTCTTCTTCCCCTCCGCGAGTGTGACGAAGAGCGAGATGATGAGTTGGATGAGGAATCAGAGGAGGAACGAGAGCGACTGGAGGATGATCGCCGTCTTCTGCACAAATAAATAAATTAGTTTATTAACGGCACATGCCCAGCTCCTAACCTGTTTTCAAAATTGGTCTTGTCATTTTATACATGCAAAAGTTCTTTTTTCCATTTACACCACCTACCAATTTAATCTAAAATTTTGCTGTCACTTGTCAAAGACAAGTTATTATATGAAAAGCCATGAAGATGGAAAGTTACCGACCGGGAGCCCCTGCTATGACCTGCTGGATGCTGCAAGTTGGAGGCGTTATGGCCCGACTGTGGAGCAGCTGGTAGAGTTGCGACTGGGGCTTCGTCATCACTGCCTCCGAAGCTTGTGATGAAGGTGATTTTCTCAGGTCCTGGGGTCCTTGACCGAGATCGTGATTCTGAACTAGATTCAGACTCTGGTCTAAAAGATTTGAAATCAAATGTTAAGAACAATAAATAATATTTTGAAATGAAGTACAAAAGAATCAGCATACCGCTTGTAAGGATCATAGGTTGGACTGTCTCTTCTGGCATAGCTAATGACAAAAAAGAAAACAAAAAGTTACCAAAATTGATTTGGCTGATCAAACTAAAAAGAAAAGAATAGCACCTGGGTGGACTGATTTGTCTCCCTTTCAGCCTTTTTTCTCTGAACTCTCTCCTTTGACGGCGAGAACGTCGGCCCTAATGTGAAGAAAAACAACAAAAAACATAATGTAAAGGGACAGTAGTATGAAAACGTGGGAAATATAAGAAATGATCATTTTCATACAGAGTACATTGCTTTTTCTGCTTCCAGGGCCTTGGCATGTTTAATGGCCTCTACCTCTTCCTTGTCTTTCCTCAACATTCTAGAAACAGCAATAATGCAAATTTAAGAATACATTGCAAACCGAATATGCATGCTTTCCCACATTTATTCATAAAAGCAACAAGTAAATAAGAATACAGTGATTTCCCTTGAGTGCATTGAAATAAAACCTATATAACATTTTTATATCCTTTTCTAAATTTTAAAAGGGTTGTGAATCCATTTAACTTCAATGGTTTACATCTTAAAACTTCCATTTATATACTAGCATGAGGGGCATTAGTAGTGGTGTGATAACATAAGTTTTAAACATTAACCTACATTATGTTCATCCTTTAGAGAAGATATATGTTGAGGACATTAGCTAAATAACAGCAGCATGACACCTGCAAATAGCAGTTTTTGTAAAGAATCAAACCATGTGAGAGAAAGACAATACCTGACAAAGTCTCCTTCAGCCATACCGTATGGAGTTGCAATTTTATTGAGGTCCAACAGCTGTTCTTCATTCAACTCGTCAACATCTACTTCTACATCTGTGGATTAAGAAAACTCAAAGTCAGTGACATCTCAAATTACCTTTCTTATACATAAAATACTGTTAATTTATATGATAAATGTGTCCATTTATTAACATACCTATATCAGGTATACCCTCATCTTCCTCTGATTCACTATTTTCTGAGTCATCTTCCTCTTTGTCTGGCTGAGGCTCAGGCTGTGTCACAGTGCTGTCCTCATAAATATAACCAATGCTTGCTTTCTTCTCTGTGAGTCTGAAAAAAAAAACAGACTTGGTCAAAACAAATGTCAAATGAACATTAACAATTTTAACATACTTTTTCTTCTCATCCTCATTTGGTTTGGGTAGCCCTCCATAGAGTTCATCCAAATAAATCTGATATAAACATTGCTCTTCGGAGACTTGGAGGAGAAAAGAAAATTAAAATAAATATCTCACAAAATTGCACATATACCTACTGATAATGTTAAAACAAGGATTTCTGTAGAATACTTACTGTTAGCAAAGTCATTTTGCACTAAACCTCTATATCTTTCATAATTGCACTTCCTCTCCTCCATTTCTTGCTCTGGTGTTCTGTAATTTAGATGATTGTAATTGTTCATTTTGGCAAAACATTTCTTTTTCACATTCTTAAATTGTGTTGTTTAATATATACTTACTGGTCATCAACTTCTGAAGGATTGTAAACTGGGATGTAGTCCAGATGAGCTCTCACATCAAATCTGTCAATCATGTTACTGGTATCACCTTGCCATGGCATCCTGAGACAATAAAAGAGACCTTGCCCGTCAGTGTGTCTTCAGTAAGAAAGGTGCTCATTCTTCGAGTTCTTACATGTTGATTGGACTTTCTGCTGCTAGAGCCACAGCAGGATCTAGATGGATCTTATAAGCACGACCATGGACCTGAAGAAATTGGGCTGGATCTTTTTTCTGTGAAGAAACAGTAAGATTATTCATATATATTTTAATTGCAATTTATATAGACTTTTCGGTGTTGCCCAAAACTTAGCTAGTGTGTGAAAATGATCTTTTAAAGTTTGTTGAGCAATAAATTTAAGTTTAACTTACAATCTTTTCATAATATTCTCGCCGTCTCTCGCCTCTGCGTTTGTAGTCAACCATCATACCGCGAAGCTTGCGCTCATGTTTGCGGGCCTCCTGCCACATGACGGCTCCGCTGGGGGTGGGGGCGCGGCGGGGCACGGCTGCTGTGGAAAGTCAACACAAACATTGAAAAAAAAATCAATAGAACCCATATTTTTGTCAGTCACAGAGACACAGGAATGCAACATCTCGGTGAACTGTAACGTACTTAACAAAAACCTCTACATGCAGTAATACTGTACAAAGAAATGTTTGGCACAGTTAGTATGCCAATGTCTTTGTGTCATTGGCCAAGCCTAGGTGGGTTATTTTTAACTGAGAAAAGGACTTGATTAACGCTACATTCTGGCCTGTATGTTTGTTGTGGACTGGCCTGTGCATATGGCATTGATGCACCATTGCTAACAGCTAACCTATGCGCTCTTGTTAGCGCACTCTTCAAAATAAGTGTTAACACGCGACTTTAGACTGAAACACAGAAGCTACGCGGTTTATAAAAATTATGCTAAACAAGCTCCAGTAAAGACATTTGAGAAACATTGACGTTAAAATGCGGCCTTGTGGTGCATGTAGCTCAGTTTTAGCTTAGCATAACAAGGCTAACGTTAACCAGCAGATAAAACCTTTCATATAAACATTTTATAATAAGGTACAACGTATGCATGGCTGTAATTATATTAAGTAGTTATATACCTGTTTTGTTGAACACTAACAGATAATGGAGGGAGTTGAGCTTATTAACTACAGCGGTACTGTAGTCAGTGCGGGTGGGTGGCACACACCTCCAGTTTGTCCTCTACACGCGGCAGAGTCTGCCGCACGGGGGCGCACCTCTCCCACTACAGCGAAGGTTACCACAGTCTACACAATGAGGCTATGATCTACAGATATAATACTATCCTCCTCCAACCAAACTCTTATCGGACTTTCTTTTTACACCGTTGGCCTGAACTACCTGTGGTATGCCATAATGCCCCTCAGCAGAAGTCAATAAATTATATAGGCATAGATAGGCCTTTCCTGTGGTTTATAATATTGTATTTATTGAGATAGGTTGCATCTTAAAAAATAATGTCCACAAGATGTCACTGTCAGACAGGTAGCCAATTTTCTGATCATTTAATTATATATATATGTATATAAGTAAGCTGCACAATGCAGAAAGAAGTGTGTAGCTAGACTACAGTAGACAATTTAATCTTGACAAACAATAGGCTGTATGCTTTGAAACATGGTCTTCTAACACGATGCTTCACTTGTGCCTGGGACTGACATCAATGGATACATTGCCTGTTATGTTTGTACAAGTGTCAAATGTTGCACTGTCACATTCATTTACTGGTTATGATCTTTCATTAACAGTATATTAAAATTTGCTTTCACCAAAAGTAAGGCTGTAGTTAAAAGTGCATAATCTTGGGAAAATTGACCACATCTAGTTGTTAAATGAACTTTTATTACAAACCACATGTGCTTGATGTAATACAATTATAATTTTAGACCAAACAGTACAAAAGGGACATCAATATGTACAGTATATTTATATACAATAACATCTTTACATATTTATGAAAAATCATACATCTTTCACAACTGCAGTTTTACAGAAACATCAGTCAGGCAACAGTGTATAGTGTATAAAAAAGGCCAGCAAACCTTTGAACGTGCATTTATTTGACCAGTAATCTATTCAAATTTAAATTTCAGTCTTCATACATTCATAAAACACATGTCAGTCTTTCCACAGTGACCTACAGGTTCAATCAGGCAACAAAGTTCATTATAAATAAGAATTTGTTCAGTCCTGCCCAGAGACTTCCAGTGGCATCAAAGATTGGCCATCGAACCCTGTCCTTGATCAGTGTCAGGCACTCAGCGGCGTAACAGAAAGTCTCCAGAAACAGTTGTAGTGAAACATCATTGGCCTCATGTAGTCCACCACAATGAATACACCTTAAGACATTGACCTTATTAGCAGCATTTAGCTTTCAAAAAGGTTCAAAAAGTCAATTCATTTAATTAACTGCAACAATGACACTGTGCTCCCGCATCACACCTCCAGCTCTTGGTTTTCTGTGTAGTGGATTCGGTTGAGTTTCTCCCTCTCCTGATTTGAAATGTCCAGTTTGTGGGAGTGCAGTGGCTTGAGTGCTGGGGAGGGCTGTGAAGGAGCAGGAGAAGGAGGAAGAGTGAGTTCAATCTCTTCGTAGCAGTGAGAGGCAGGCGTGACAGCAGTAGCGTTGGTCAGAGGGGCTGTAGGAGGCACAAGTGGTACAGGGCGGTCCACATTTCTGATGAGGTTGACAAACTCCCTCTGGTTGTTGATGCCTTCCTCTGGTGGGACTGCCTGCTGCTTTTTCCTCTTGTGATGGAGATGAGAGGCGATGAGAGCACAAGCGGCACATCCACAGACAGTGACCAAAGCCAAGATACCCACAAGTACCATGTAGAAGCTCAGGCCACTGTGAGTTGTGTCAGACATAGCATCTGCACATATAATAAGAAGTAATGTTACCACTTTATAATTAGGCTACATCCTAATTAACCCTAATAAAGCATGGACAAAGACTTAATAATGAACAAATAGTTTCTAATCATTCAGGTACCCTATAGCACTACGTAATGAAAGGGTTAGGCTTTAGATTAATTATTAAATTGGACTCATTCTTAATCTGTTGAATTATACCTTTGTTCATTCTTTATTAGGGCCATTAAAGTGTAGTTATTATAAAATGTCACCTAAGTAGAAGTTGTAACAATAAGTCTTGATTGTTTATACATGTTTAGATACACTATGATGTTTCTTACCAGGACAATGCAGGCCAATACAAGGGGTTTTCAGGGTCATACATTCATTTCCATAATATCCTTCAGGACAGATGCACATATACCTGCCTTCTGAGCTGTGGCAGGGCATGCCTTGTTTGCAGGGGTTGGGCTTACATGGATCTAGTGCAAACTGAAGTAAAGATGTTTACAAAAACGTTACCATGGGATTTTGTGAGATACTTATATTTATACAATTGGAAAGAATGAGAATGATAGTTTAACATTTCAGCCCATTCAACATCAGCTAACACCTTCTATATTTACCTCACAGTAGGTTCCTTCGTATCCAAAGGGGCAGGTGCAAGTTGGATTCCTTCTATCCTTTGTAACGCACTGTCCTCCATTTTGGCAGGGGAAACTCGCACATGGATTTTGGCCTTCTTGACAGTATTTTCCAGAAAAACCAAGAGGACACTGACATCTCGACCCTGAGACTAGATCCTATAATGCAATAACAATAAACTTTATTGTCCAATCAGTACAGTTTATTTTCTTTTTATGGGTTCAGAGTTTTACAATATAAACATTACCTCACAAAGACCACCATTCAAACATAAATCTTGACAGCTGTTGTTTCCTGAAAGTTAAGCCATAAAAAACAATGCGTTTGTGTATCAGTTTAATTGCCGGACCTTAATGCAAAATCCACATCTAATTATATGTGTCAAGATGACCCTTAAACTCACTTATATCACAGTTAGGCCCTGTCCATCCAGGAAGACAGTCACACAAATATAGTCCAATCAAATTGCGACAGGAGCGGGCATGGACACAGATGTTGAGTTCGCATTCGTTGGTGTCTAAAAATAATATGAAATAGATGTAACTGTCAAGTATGATTAAAAAAAAAAAAAAAGAATAAAAAACAGAAACACTTTCAAGCTTAACTGTAGAAGAATAATGTGGATTAATCATTGCCAATACACTTACACATTTCTAGACTATTAAACATTAAAATGCAATCAGGAATCCTAGCCATAATTAAACCATTAAGACAAACAAGCATGCAAATTCTTTTATCTGTGCAGCACATCATATGGTGTCATCTTTTCTCCAAGCTCACTAAGCCATCTTTTAGCCGCTGGTAAAGCCCAAGTTAAATTTCATTTTGAAGTTGTAATAAGAAGCCCATCAGTAATTATTTGATTAGATATTATGTTAATTTTGGCATTTGGTATTTTGGGATGTTTATAATGTATCCTGTAATCCTTATTCTTTTGCAAAGGAGAAATTCAATTTGGTCAACTGGACAAAAGTTTTTTTGATCATTTTGCATCTCATGCAAGCTGCTTCTTCAGTATGGGTCAGATTGCTGGTAAACACTGTCTTATATCTGCCTAAGGCGAGGATCAAACTACACTAAAACTACTCTGGAACTAACACACCTACTTGTTTACGTCTTTTGTTTGTTAGCTAGGCCTATTGAGCTGCACTACGTGAGAACTGTGCCTGAGTCATATTAGCATAATCATTCAGGCCCCTGATGGATGCTTTCACACCTCTGAAAATATAATAGTTTTCTCTGTTTTGATTTAGGTCTGAGGATGGAGTTGAGGATGATGTCTGAGCCCTCCATTTCTGTTCAAAGATGGATTGTCTTTCCTAACAAAAATAGCCTCTTTAACTCCTCTCTCTAAACACTATTGTCTTATTCTGTTGCTCATTCAATTGAACCAAATGGCTCTCACTGTGTGGGTCTAGTGTTGATAGACTTCATCAGTTTGTATGTAATCCTGGGGGCTGCTGACCTGTGATGTGGAACTACAGAGGGTTACCAAGTGTCACAGTGACATATTACTGTAAGAGGCAGCAGTGGGTTTGGCCTGTCACTCTGAAAAATGTCATGCTTCTTCTTTCATACCCCCAGCTTCTGTATACCTCAGAAGTTGTCTGTGCATTAGAGACTTCATCCCTTCGGACCATACATATCAGGCCTGTCGACAGAAATTTGGGGGGCCCAGGGCAGGAAGCCTCATATAGGGCCCCCTCTAATATACATTTATAGGAAGAGGGACCAGTTCTGAGCCCCTACTACCCTGGGCCCCGGGGACAACAGACCCCTTTGTCCCCCCTGCGTACTGCCCTGATACATATTAATATTAGTGAAAAGTAGCCCACAGAAACAAGTCACTGCATTGTCACCGCACTTTTGCAACAACTGGCAGGCTGTTGCCTAATAGTTGGCAAAATTTTTTCCCGTGAGAATTTAACACTGTAGCTCTAGTTCAGGAAGTAGAACTATTTCCAGATAGAGTGACAGTCTAGAATAGTCTATTAGCAGATAATATCCTGCATTACTTGTGTCATACTTGTGTCATACTTGTGTATTACATAAAACGTCACTTGTCCCTAACATTCACTTCTTACAGTAGTTGTCCAAATCAGTTTAATCTTTTCTCCTTATGACCTCTTGTATATAGCTGAAATATATTTGTGCTACTATCTTTTTATATATTTTTTTTATTTTTACTTGTACATATATTTTTATATAATTATGCTTTATTTGACCAGCCTCTTGTTATTTTTGCTACTTATTTTGAATTTATTACCATGTATATTTTTGCTCTTTGTTATTATATTATATTGTGATCTGTGACCTACTGTGTCCAAATAATTTCCTTTGTAGATCAGTAAAGTTTGTTTAAGTATATCTCCAAAATGTAAGGTGCAATTTTTAACACAATATTTTAAACTATTTATTGTTTTTTATATTGCTGATAACCTGGAACTGCGTACAGTGTTTCGTTTCTGTGTATTTTTTCAAAATGAATGAAATGACAAATAAATTCTGATTCTGATTCTGATTGATTCTGCCCTATGCACTGACCGAGCTGGCACGTCCTGCCACTCCACCCCGGGGGACACAGGCAGCGGAACCCTCCCGGAGTCTCTTCACACGTGGAGCCTTCGCCACACGGCTGCCGGTCACACTGCTTCACTGCTGCAAACACACACACGTAGACATTAACCACTCAGCTGTGTAATAGAATTGTGTGTGTGCGGACGGATACTGTGTGATGTGTGTGTCTGTGCCTATGTGGTATTAGCATGCTTTATTCATCTCTCTGTCACTCAGGCTGCTGTGCAATCACTGATAAATACAAGTGTCTGAACTGTATATTTATCTGACACCTCGCTCCACAGCGGAAAATTGGTGTTTACCACAAAATAAATGAAAACATCATGGGAATTCATAAGAAATGCAAGTAAAATAAAATTGCTGTTTGTGTAGAAAAATAGTTTCAAACATAAAGTGCATATTTATTAGAATGTAGTATCCTTTCGTTTCCCATGGATCTCCAAATGTGTCTCTCATAATGTCTCTCATAACACACTTGCCTAGTGAGTAACCTCACAGAAAAGCCATTTTCCACGCTCCTGGCCCCAGTTCACACAGCTTAATAACCGTCTGGCTAAAACTAGAAGTAATAACATACAAAGTCTTTAATTAATGTGGGTTATTTATAAATCCTGTCTGAAACAGTGCTGTGTATGTTGTGGTCATTCCTAACAATCTTCTCCTGTGTATTCCCCTGAGAGACCCACAACATATATACACATAAACAGATAGACAACCGCCTCCAACATTTAATCGCGCATTGAGAAACAAATACCAACAGAGTGCATCCAAAGTAAATACAAGCTACTTTTTCACTGTTATGCATGAGTGAAATGCTTGTGGTCAGGGATGTTCACCATGATGGAGGTTAGATGGATTTATGACCCACACAAAGCATTGTCTGTTTGTTTGAGTTACATCCCCATTAACTACTGTAGCATTTGAGTCAAAACAAGGGCATGGTTGAACCTTTGCTAAATTTTAAAAATAAAGCTGGAAGCCCCTAGAGAGGTTAGGTCAAGAATAAGAGCCCATCTATTCACTCATGACCAACAGAGATCTTATCCAATAGGCTGCCATATCATCAAGTGTTTCACAATGTAAAATAACAAACATTGTTAGCTTTCCTTTATTTTTGGCAGAGACGGAAGTAATGATCCTTAAATATCTGCAACACAAATTAAACCTTTAAAATGTAGATTCTGCATATTTTAACTGACACAACATACAATTAAATTGCTTTTAAATGAACAAATGCAGTCATAGCTATCTCAAATAAATGAAATGTGTTTTTTTTTGGTGAAAATTGCAGAATCTAATAATTGCGTAAGGGAACAAATTATATGTCAAGGCGTCAGTCTTATTACAAGATTGCTTTGTTTTGGTAAACACCGGAATAAATAGTCCTGCAGCAGATACACAGCATTTTGCATTTCCCCCATAGAGAAACAAATCAAGCCAATCAGTCCCAGGAAAAAACAAAGGTCTCAAAACATGGCTGAAGCCCTTTCCTCAGTGTAGCAAAACAAAACTGTTGATTTTCTAGTTAATAGATGCTTTGGTTTGGCATTAACTGAGTGTGAGAAAAAGGGCGAGGCAGGTTTTTGAGTAGTTCTGATTCTGTTTGTGTTCACTGTAGCTTTCTTTGTCCAAATGATGTGAGTGAGACACTGGTTCTGATCCAATAACAACTAATCAAGACTTCCAACAGCAATGATGTGACACCTACTGATTATTCTGTGTGTGACTCACCTTGTGCACAGGTGAGACCCGTCCAGCCGTCTGCGCAGGTGCAGCTGAAGCCAGAGGGGTTCTCCTGACAGGTTCCTCCATTCAAACATGGAGATGACAAACACGCGTGCTCCACTGAACAAAAGAATTAAGACGAAGAAATATGAGCTTCATCAGGACAAACTAAAGACTCTGTCAGTAACAAACTCACCATTTTCACAGTTGCGCCCTTTAAACCCATCTTGACATTCACACTGGTACTCGTTGGGCTCAGTGTTAGTGCATGTCCCTCCGTTCTTACAGGGCTGATGGGTGCCACAGTAGTTCAGATCTGTAATATATAGAGTATTGTACTTAATATGAATTCTATGGCGACCAGTGTAACCCTGACTGTGCAGGCCTGTAGCTGCAGGCCTTTGTTTTCAGGCTGATTACAGCTCTGCACTAATGATCTCTTATGTGCCCGCGGTGCTTTTGTCTCACTGCAGAAACAGCACAGGACCCCACCTATTTGAGAGCTCTGCCTTGCTCACTTTCATTTCACCCAAGGCTATCGACTTTCCTCTACACAATGTGGTGTCCCCTGGGCAGTTCTCAGGCTGTGACAGAAGCGGGAGGTGGGGAGCTCCCATGCAGAGAGAATGTGGGGGAACTTCTCAACACTTTGGTGCCAAAAACTTGGTGAGTCAGGTAATGTATGTGGGATCTGAACAACCACACCTTTAGTACTAACACTGTGGACATCAAACAGTATAAACACACATCTTTTATCTTTATAGAGTCATAATATCCTGGAAAGATTAACAGTCAAGGATTTTAAGCACAACAGCAGTTTGTACCTTTGTCACAGAGCAGTCCTCCCCAGTTGACATCACAGACGCACTGCCAGGGCTCGGTACAGCTCCCGTACATGCAGCCCGGAAACGTCGTACACTTGTCGCACAGCGCTCCCATCCAGCCATAATGACACCTACATCACAACAGGCTGTTTGAACAGATGGCAAGCGTCTACATCCGCCTCATGTGTTGATATTTGATCAGACAGCCTTTTATAGGGGGTCCAGTCAAAGTGGGAATCACAATACTCACTTGCATTCACCCGGTTCGTTGCAGTAGCCGTGAAGCTGGTTACACCCTTGCTTACACACAGCTGTGAACACACATAAAAAAAAGATATTAAAGACAAACTATGGACTAGCATTAAGTCTGTAATGGCTTTACAGAGCGTGGAAACCTGTAATTTTGATTATGTTAAGAGATATCACTAGATTTACTAAACACGCAGTATAATAACAATAATCTAAACATTCAAAACCACAAAACTCCCACCATGTGAATCTATTCATAAAAGTTATTTGAAAAACTTGCAAGGAAATCATGTTCCTTGTGTGTAAATCTGCAGGGGGTAATAGAAAGACAGTAACCTATGATTCAAATTTCCTGCTCCTCTCCGAGCCAATCAACTACCTGCTGAGGAGGAAGTCAAAGAAGTGTGAAAGGGGCGAAGTGGGCAGGACGGCAGGATGTCCTTAAACTAGCTGTGTGTCCTTCGGGAGTCCCATAATTTTCACTCTGACTTCCTCCCCTTACTTTAAACACTGGATTAATGGCTCTGGTCCAAGGTCACACAAGTGGGTCATCCAGCTGATGAGCCATAGACATGGAAAAAGAGCTGCATAAGGTCAAGCTCAGGGACTGTGGGCTTCTCAAACTGTAGAATACTGTAGTCATATCTCTGTTTTATGCAAAGTCAAAGTGATAGTCATATTGTGAGACTGTTGATACGGTGATAACTCAGTGCTGCCTATATTCATACCTTAAGGTGTGTAACTGTTTAACTTGTTGGTTGGGGTCCGTCAACTATTTGTTTCTATGAATATGTCACTGGTCTGCCTGGAATATTCCACAGTATGATATTAAACAGTTGCTTTTATAGCTCAAAAATACCTAGAAAATTTGTAATTTGGTCTGCTTTGCTCTCCATGAAGATAGAAATGTTTAAAGCCACACTGTGAAACATTCCAGACAAAGCAATAACATCTCCATGGAGAAAAACATTTGATGGATCCCATGCCAGAAAAATTGATTTAGTCAACAACAAAAAGATACATTTAAGCAGTGCCATGAATAAGGATGTCATCAAATGATAGTGATAATTTACGTCAGAATATGATAATAAGAGCTAAAAGAAAATAAGATAATTGTGAAAACTGAAATTCCAAAATTTAAGTTAATATTCCAAATGTTTGACTTCCTAAAGCTAGTCATCATATATTAGTATAGGCATTACTGATCTAGTAGTGAAACTCAAAGTAAATTAAGGATTTCACAATGGTCACATTGACAGTGATTGTGAATAATCACTGATGTTTCTTCTCAAAGTAATAGAGTAATATTCAGATTAAGTAATTAGTAAAATCTGATATCATGACATCTCAAACCAGAGTATTGTGTGTTTCTACCTTCTTTACACTCAGGACCAGTCCAGCCGTCGATGCAAACCTTAGAGCCATTGGGGTCACATTTGAAGTGTCCAAAAAAGTCATCTCGAGCTCGGCAGAACTTGTTGCAGAAGGGTCCGTAGTAGTTGGAGTCACAGCGAAAGCGCAGTCGATACTCAAGACTGAGGGTCCGGCCATGGGCACGGTAAACCTGCCACTGCTCACCGGGGTTCAGCATGGAGGACAACAAGATCCTCTCAATCAGCTGACCTGGATAAATTTACCAGCAACAAACTATGAGCATCATACACAAATATTTGTATTTATTTATGAGCATCATACACAATTATTTGTATTTATTTATTTATTTTTATGATTAATCAAATGTGTTAATTCTTCTTTAAAAAAAATACCACAGTGTATCAGTAGTTATTTGAGCTGGTCGCAGTTAGTATGTAGCAAAACAGACATGGAAATCAGGGCTTTTGAGATTCTAAGTAACACAATATATACATCAAATAAACTTGTTAGTTAATGCTATCTAATATGTAAATATATGTATGCAAGCTTTCCATAAATTCAATAAAACAATAAAAGCAGTGGAATATGCGCTATAATCAGACAAACTGACTTATACTAAACGGTTCAATTAATTTGACACAAAGCTGCCACTGTGGAGTACAGAAGACATTTATTAGCTGGAGGACCATTATGTGAAGGATACTCCACCCCAGGGGACATGAGAGGCCCGGGGCGGCTCTGGCCACCACGGCTCTGACCCAGGGGGTTTCCCAGAGGCGCTCTCATTCCCAACTCAGTCACTAATCCTCCACAAAGCATTAAACATACAAAGCAATGAGAATGTGCTGCTCTGTATGGATGTGTGTTTTAGAGAAGGCAGTGGGAATGAATACAAGAGAAAGCCAGGGACATAGGAGCAAAGCAAACATACGAGAGGTTACGCGACTTAATTACAATATAAGGAGAGTTCCTAATAACGTAGACCAAAATAGTAATATAACTCAAAATAATGCAAAATATAGAAAATAATGTAAAGGTTTTATCCAGTTTATGTACAGGACATGTGATACACATCCAATTTGCAGACCAAATTATAATTATTATTATTTTAAAGAAAAGAAAAATATATGGACTATGAAGAGCAAACATTGTTCACGTTTTATGTAAAATTATTGCAAATCATTCTTAATTTGAATACTGGGCTAGCTCATAATGCAATTACAATGAATTCACAAGTGCTCTCCTAGAGTGTGTGTGTGATGGACGGGGCCAAAGAGGAAGGGAGGCAGCCGCAGCAGCTATTAGCGCTCATAACATTTCCACCTGAGATGAGATCACCGAGGCTGGACAAAGAAATGAAAATAGGCCACATATACTGCTGTGTGTGTGTGTGTGTATGTGTGTGAGTGTGCGTGTGTGTGTGTATGTGTGTGTGTGGGCCCATATTCTGCTTTTTTCTGATGTATGTTATAATTCCCAAACATAAAACGTTCTTTTCCACCTTGTGATCTCTGATAATTCAGGAGGTATTCCACTATGTTTTTAAATTACCTTCACTAGAATCATTTGGACATTTCAGCTCTGGAATTGCCCATCTCTATTGAACTAAAGATAAAACGAGCTGTTAACTTGAAAACTAGCACTATACATGACCTCATAAGGTGGAACAGAGCGTATTGAGCTTTGAAAATGTAGGCAGACTAATAACAAGGGTTACTCAAACATGTGAGAATGAAGAAAAAACACAACTCCTGCTATGTTTTTGTTCTGGTAACAGCATTGTAACATGGCTAAACGCCCACACTAGTCAATTTCATGTGATACAGGCCCTGTACGGTTAAGCTCATTTTCCAGGAAATGAATGAAACATGTGTGTGTCAGAAAATATAGCAGATAGGGAATGCTGCTCAGCCCTGTTCCTGTTCCACCTGCGCTACAAACGTTCATTAGCCCAGCGTCTTGTACTTAGGGTTTCCATTATTACTTTATGACACTGCCAAGTCAAAAAGCGATTTCCCCACCACAAAAGGAGACAAGAGGAGAATGGAAATATGACAGAGGAAGTGTGCCAAGTTGAGATGTTCTGTAATGTGATTAACTAACATGTCACAATAATAAGTAGGAAGATTACAGAATTGACAAGCTGGACAAAGCAAATGAAATTTTACACAGTAGCAACAGGGAGTGCAGCTATTTAGAGTTGGCAGAGAGGGCTTCACAATAAAAGGGCTGTTAGTGAATCCATTAACATAAGACCATATCAGGTATTTAAATATTTCCCATTATATTGGAATAATAAAAACAATAATTAGATCAGATTTTTGGTGTGTGTGTGTTTGCATGCACAAAATACTTTTTTTTTGGGTCTTTTTTTGCATAATTTCCCTTGTCAAAATCTACACATGTGTGAACAATCAGAAGAAATCACATTACTCAGATCGGATAACAGGTTACAAGACATTTCAAAAATATGATAGCTCTAGAAATCTGACGTGCATATAGTCAGTGAAAGGTGGTCCCTCTCAAACCTGAAAACTATATAAATCTATTTTAAACTTCACACAATAAAAATCAATACACCACCCACTATAGCTGCTGCGTATATGAAGTAGTGTCTTACTGATGTCTGGTGTGTTGTTATAATGGTACAATGCACAGGCTACACTTAGGCCTGGCACGTTAACAACATTTGAAGTACGATGTACTGCTGAAGAAAATACAGAAGATAAACAATAATACTGAAACAAAATTTAAAACTGATCATATAGCCAAAAAATAACCACAAATTTCCAAGTAGTGATAAGAAAATGTACACATGATAAATAGTGACTCCAAAAAACATTGTTCCATCTTTCAGATACTGAACAATAAGTCGATATAGTTATTATAGTGACAGGCCAAGCTACTTTTACTTTGACAAAGGCACAGATGTGTAGATATGTAGGGCAAATGTTTCCGAAAAACTGGATCACACTGTAGCGTTTGTAAAATTGAATTGCACTCGCTGAACAACGGGAGGTGGCAATCTTGTGTCAATAAGTCTTTTGTCAATACCGATGTAACTGCACTGGGAAAAACCTCTCTAAGAAGTAAACAAAATAAAATATAGAAAATATTGAAAACAAATGGTAGGTTTTTGGTTCACACAGAGGTAGCTGAATTATGGGTATTAACAGTGACAAATCAATGAGAAAATAAGGTTAGAGGGGGGGAATATATCTAAAAATGTATATTACAATTGTTGAAAATATTAAAATTATTTAAAGAAGGCTGCAAAACAGAAATGAAAAAAATAAGATAAATTTGCAATAAAAGTGCAATCATATCACATAATACTATAAGGTTATAGTAGAATAAACTGAGTCATGTTTGTGTCATTTTACAGTTTGTTGTGTTTTATACTTCAACGTCTAATACACTGACACCATATATTGACACATTTTATCACATTTCTGATGAACTTCCATAACATTGTCTCAGTGTCGCCATCAGTATTATAAAAAAATAGATTTTGGTCCCACACCCATAAATGAGTTGGCCAAATATAGGTATTATCAGGTGAGTCAGTGGTTTATCAGAAAAATAAATATGTCACTCCCACACAAATGTAACCAAATGTCAATATACAGTTTTCTTGTCTAGTGGGAGGAATGGTACCTTAATTAAAACAAATCCCATTGAATTTCGGTCAGTTCAGTCTCAAATGAATGTCATATTTTTCATTATTTCCAGGGAGTGACTCAGAAAGGGTAGAGAGGTATTATGCTGATCCTGTTTGATTGACAGCATTTGGTAAGTAAATTCAAATTCAAACTGGTGCTGCATGGATACCAGTATTTGGGATGAGCTGCCCTGTCAAACGCAGTGAGCAGCTCTGAAGTCTATAGGCTGTCAGGAGCTCAGGTGGAGACGGTATATAATGCAAACAAGAGGAAAGGAGGCAAACTGGAGGTGCGTAGGAGGAGATATCGAGGTTCCCAGTTGTACAGTATTATTTAAATATGCAAAACATATTTCTCTGTATATATAATAAAAATGAGCTACAATTAGAATATGTTATGACTGACTAACTCCATGTAACTAAACGATCAGTTCAGCTTTACTATATGAAGAGGTTAAATGGATGCTATAATAAGGTTTGAGCAAAATTGCATTAAAGCATTGGATCTCATTAGACTTAAACCAGGTCTAAACCAGAACTAAACCATGACAAAATCAGGTCTCAACCCAAACTAAACCAAGATTCATCCAGGACTTAACCAGAGCTAAATGTGGTATTAACAGGGACCAAACTAGTACCAGAATAGGTGATAAGTAACAGATCTAAACATGTATTTTTATTCCAGAAGATTAAACTCGATGTGTGTAAATTGTACACCCCCACATTTCTCATTATCTCTGCCAACATTTTGAAGAGACTACCATCCCCATGAGGATCAAACACTGATATTAAAAGAATGAGGAAAGACATGCCTCTCTGTGTTCTCTGTCTGCACTTTTTATAGCACAAAGCTCACAATGTCGGTCACAGAGATTTAGCTGATCAAGACAAGAAACAACAAGGAGGCATGCAGGAAATTAAAGGGACTGGTTTAAAGACCCCTGAACTCATCACAGCAATGCAGGCAGCAAGACATTCACAGGGTTTATACCACATATAAACAACAAGAAATGTCGAATATATGTTGGGGAAAGCTAATGTTTAGTCTGGGAAACATTCTTGTGTCATGTGGTGTAAACATTTCTTTGCTTGATTCATCCATATAATAATACAATAACATTAAACAACTTTGTAATTAAAGTGTTAACTGTTTTCGATCATTTAAACAATGTAAAATTAAGCATGTCACAATAAACACGATATTAACGTCAACAAAAGAATATGGGAAAATAATTTGGAAGGATCTATAACAATCGTATGCATGTTTTCTTTGCACTTGTAGGGAAATAATTATTGTGTTTTTTGTAATGCAATAATATTTGAGCGTCTGAGAATCAAATAAGTAAATGTGATGACTCATTATAGATACAAGATATGAACTGTCTAGTGTTTCATTTTGTCAATTAATAATCGTAACTACTGAACAGTATTGTATATGTGTTATACATGGTATAATTAGTAGTAGATTGAGCACAGATAAAGACCATTTACCTGGTTCTGATGCTTCTGTTGTGTCATTGTCAAAGTCCAGAGCTTCCAAGACCAAGGAGAAAGATTTCTGTGGGAAAATACAAAAATTAAATGTCATATACAGATGGCAAATATACTGTATGAAGGAAACAAGTACACAAAATAAATGTATGTAGACGTCGAGTTCATTTTGTTCAGTCACAATATTTAAAAAGCACACAATACATTTTACAGCATGTGTTTAAATGTGGGATGAGAAAAAGCCACATTGAAGCAAACAAGAAACAAATGTTATTCAGTGCCCAGACAATTCAAGGCTACACAGACGATGCTGAGCCACAAATTCCTTAAAAAAATAAAATAAAGATGCACTATGTAACTTTTCTTGTCTCTACTTGTCTCCCTGAAGATGTTATTGCTTTCCTGAAAATGTTCTACAGTATGACAAAAAACTTTAAGTAATCAAAAGTATATATATACATCCTTACTGAGAGCAGGGTCACCTCTCCACAGATCTGACCAGTAATATGGCTAATGTATGTTATAGAAATAGAAACTTGAAATAGATTTATTGCCACACTGTGGGCAATTTCAGACAATGCATTAACATCTCCATGGACACACGAAATTTGCTCCAAAAGCTACATAGTCCTAGCCTGATTCATCAAACGGTATCACCTCTTGGAAACAGTCTGTCCACGCAGCATTAGGATTCATTTGCTCGATGGTAGATTGGTACTTTTTTATTTAACCAATCGCTACTATTTGGTCGTGATGTATGTAATGGACGAAGGGGAATAATATCTTTCCCTTTGATAAAATTCACCAAACTTTCTCTGTGTTCCGGCTTTAAATCCTCGATCTCGGGAATCATTGCAAACATGAATGTATGGCTTTGTCTATATCCATCTCGACCATTTTGTTTACTGTTGTGCTGTACCACAAACGGGACCCAGACAGGCGCTTGAGTTTGACGTCATGGCTCTACAGCTGATTGGCCGGTGCGCAGTCTACATCTTCCGGGGTTCTTGCAAACTGTCTAGTGTATTCCTGACCTACTTGCTGGAGAGAAATTAAATTGAGCGGAGGCACTAGGTGGCAGGCTGGCTAACATAGTTCATCTTTAAGATAAAACAGTGAATATACTGACTGTAGTATGCTTACAGTTAACTGCTGTATGTCCGAACAAATAATATCCATATAATAATGTCCATGAAGACCCTTTAAGCCTCCCATTTAGTGAGATGCAAGGATGGATTAAGTTACAGCAGTGGTACACAAAGTAGCAATACAATATATATAATCAAAGGCCCTATTGACATACAGTAATGCTTGCAGCTAGGCTAAACTCAATCACAGCTCACAACAAAAAGGTAACTCTCCTCCTCCTACAAAAGGGAATTTGATCTTGGTTGTTAGAAAAGCCTCTGACATAACTCACCTAAACACAAGTATAGAGTTTCATTTGTCTTTCAGTTGGAGACAACAAATGCGTGATGTCATTTGACTGCAGTAACAGGGAAATGCAGGGAAACATGGATAATGTTACTTTTGTGAATACTGTAAGAGATTTCATAGTTAAATCTCCACTTTTAAAAACGTATATATACAGATGACTTTTAAAAATTATTTTATGTCAGCTTGTGGAGTACATGTACTGAATTTCCTTTCTTGTCAAAACATGGGTGAGGCAATGAGAACATTTTTCTAAATGTTTGTATGCAATATCACATGACATTCTCACTTGGGAATTGGAACTGCAGTTTCTAAGAATATAATTTCCCTTTTATGCACAAGACATTCAGAGCAGCAGTTACAATTAAAGCAACATTGAGTAAATATTATGGTGGCAGGCACAGAACCTGCATGGCTCCTTAGAGATAGAAAGCTAAAGCTAAACTTTGGAACCTTCTCCATAGAGATAACATTTTTTTATACCAAACTTTGGAATGTGCCCAGAAAAACAAGCACATCTCCATGGAAACAAGCAGGTTATGGATTCTCTTCCCAGCAAAGTCGAGTCCATTCTGTGGAGAGAGAAGCCTGCTCATAACGAGTATGTTTGTTACTATATACTATATTGTGTTATGTTTTTCAAGGTGCTTTAGTGCAATTGAAACACCATAAGGAAATATACACTTTTATTGTATGTCTGTTTTTTGGATATTTTGTGCCATTAATATTATTATGTAATTGCAGATGAAGAAAATAAAAATATATATACACAAGTATTATTAAAATATATTATTCATAACAAACATCATCTCCACTATCCTTTAAGAATGGACTCAGTCTGAAGATGACTTTGAGATCAGAAAAACTATAGCAATGAGGACACATGGTTATTCTGTTTATTCCACAGCGCATTCATGAATAATTCAGACAGATGCTATCCCCAATACTCTCCTTTTCTCTTCTATAACACCTGTCTGTATATGCCTACCCTTTGAGAAACAAACCAGTAAGAACCATGGAAATCTGCCTCGACCACATGCATTGTGTTGTTCTCCTAAAGGGGTACATAGATGTGCAGTCACGTCTTTGCTCTAACAGTATGGAGCCTGGGGGGCTGTGGGCGGAGGATGAGCAGTGTAGAGGTGCACAGTGTGGTGGTCTGAAGAAATGCTGGATTTTGGCCTGGGGCTAAATAAGATGTGTGAGCGAGAAGATGAGGGGCTACTGCAGTAAAAGTGTAAAACATTGCACCAGAGAAAATTGGTGTGGTAGAAAGTCCTGAGTAAGGGGTTTGCTGAAAGTGGAGGAGTATTACGTATAACTCTGCTACAGCGACAAGTACAACCAATTTTAAAATGTTTCTGAACATTTACAAAGATACAATCTTTTTTTAAATAAAAATAAACAAAAAATATGGGGAAAAAAATCACCCATAAAAATACTATTATTTTTTTGGCTGAATACTAATACTAATACTAAGCTGCTGTTGCATTTTCAAGCAACAATTTTGGTTTGTCTTTTAAGAAAAATGCTATGTTCAGTTCTAACTGTAATACACTGCAATTACATGATTGTTTCATGCTTCCTGGAGTAATGAAGTTTTTTTTATTGAAGGAATCAGCAAAACACAGATGAGAATTCCATACACTTTTTGCATTAGAAAGATAAGGCATAACTGTGAAAAAACTACTACAGACAGACATGCTAAGCCATTGATTAGCAGGAGCCCTGTGGCTAGTCTGAGTTTTAGAGTGATGCAGACTGACAGCAGGTCAAAGTAAGGTGAACCAAAAGGATGGTATGATAGATACAAATGAAATGCACTAGAAAAAAACGAGGAGAGAATGCAGCAATAAGATGAGAGGAGAGGCAGTGGGGGAACACACACCCACACGCAGCTGCACAGAGAAGTCTTAATGGTAATGAGATGTGCACTATGAGTTCACCATCAGTTCATTAAGGCCAGAAGACAGCGGGTCTCCATGTCACACTGCAGGCTCCACACCCCACTTTCAACTGCCACAGCCAGTAGAGCACAGAAAGAGTGAGATACAAAAATACTGTCTTTACAACAGCACTGTGTAAAAATACCATTTAGAGAAGTGGGAAAACAACAGCTGAAATATGAAGTATAAATCCACACATTTTTACCAATTTTATGCAGATGAGTGCAGGTGGGCGACTGTTAGCTCACACAATAAAGTATGTTCTAAAAATACACATAATGAATTAGCACTGAGCTAAAAGCACCCACAAAGAAAAAACTGACGCAAAGACATTACACATTATTTGCAGCCTCTTGATATTTTTGCTACTTATTACTACTAGAATTTATTATTACCATTTATATTTTTTCTCTTTGTTGTTATAATATTTTGTGATGTGTGACACTATTGTGTCCAAATTATTTCTCTTGTAGATCAATAAAGTTTGTCTAAGTCTAAGTCTGAGTCTTTTCTTAGAGTGACACCAAAATCCAACCACATTTTTAGCATGTTAATAACTTTATAGCTTCAAAAAATGAACTAGTGTTAATTGTAAAAGGTCAGCACATAACAGAAATGATATATGTTCCTTTAAGTTTAAATCAGCCTCCTGCCACCATGGTTTCATCCTACCATGTCTTAGTTATGTCCTAGTTGCTGGTATCGACAGAGGAAGGGTGTATAAACTGTGCAGGGTCGCAGTAATTATGGTTTCCAAGTTACAGCCCCAAAACATGAAATAACCATCATATAACAAGGATGGACTCCTGACTGGTGAGGGCAATGATGCCATGACGACAGTGCAGCCCAGTGCAGAGACTTGACCTGCAGGGGGGGAAAAGAAAACACCAAACAATGAAAGCCCACAGTGATAAGATCGTGGCCTGCTCTGGAGGTGACGTTTTAGTCTCACACAGGAGCAAACAACATCTCTGTTATTTGGACTGGCCATTTGGGGCTGTAATGGTGGCAGTGATGACAGCCTGGAAATGACATAATGGGAAAGGTGTGTGGATGGAGAGTGCATGTAGCCTGAGTGCATGGTAGCGTGTGAGAGGGAGAGATTTGATATGGTGTATAAAATACGTAATATGTCTTTTTTTTAAACTTCTATAGTTTATATTAAAGAGACAGTTTTATACTTCTCATATTTGACACATATTCTCAATAAGGTAGGGCTCTAGTTGACTAAGGAAACTAACACTGAAGTAGGTTAAATTTTAGATCTTATTCCCACTCCTTGGGTTGTGTTTTTTATGTACCAATTTTGACACACAAAAATGCTCTGTGCAGGAACTGACTCACTAAAAAGGGTTGAGGCATGGCGTGCACACACAAGAGCACAAGTTCATGAGTTCACCCAATAACAAAGTAGAACAAAGTATATTATATAGAAAAGTGCTGGCAAACTTACTTTCCTGCTACATTGAATATGTGAAATGTGTGCAGAGTTTCTGTTATAATATTTATCTTCAAAATGTGGCATCATATTGTGCTAGAGATAGCTAATTATGGAGAAATGTAATAATAATATACTAGTATTTATTTAATGATTATCTGAAAAAGTCATTCATGTACTTCAAAGTTTTACCTGTAGAGGAAGAATGGACTTTGAACAGAATTGTTTCATGATTCATGCAGCCGTAGA